GTACTTAATATAATTAATACTCTTACAACTTTAAATATATTACACAAATACCATTACTTTTATATCAGATAATCTAACAATGGTATTTATATCATTTTCATTATAAATCAATATAATACTAATATTATAAAATGTACATACAAATAGTAAATATTATCGGTTTTATGGGACAGATGTAGTATTTTTACTTTTTTTTTAACTACAGAATTCAAATAATAAAAAATCGGGATTTGAAAAGAAAATAAGCAAACTCATAGTTTTTTAAAATAAAATATGGCACGTGGACCTCATATGATTGGGAGTTCTTTGCTTGTGATTTTTTATTTTTATTTTCTAAAAGTAATCTTCAATACTTATTTTATTAGTCTATCATTTCAACATGTATCATTTTAAAAGATTCTTATAGAGTATGTTTGGTTTATGGTTGGGTGTGCTTCTTTGGATTTGACTCGAGAAAATTGGATTCAAAATTTATATTTAAATAATATTTAATAAGATATTTTTTAGAAAAAAATATATATATTTTTTTTTTAAAAAATACAAATTTCAATAGTAAAAGTTTGGAAAATTGGATTAAAAAAATAAATTTTGATTTAATAATATTTTATAAGATATTTTGTAGAAAAAAAATAATTTTTTTAAAAAAAATGCAAATTTCAATAGTAAAATTTTGGAAAATTGGATTAAAAAAAATAAATTTTGATTTAATTTTGGTTTTGAATAATAAAAATTTACATTGGAATAATTGTATGATGTACATAAATAGGTGTTGATGTAACACTTTGAATATATAATTAATTTTTAGTATAATTTAAAAAATAAAAAATAAATATTTAATTTGATATTTTCAGAAAAAAAAAAATTTAAACACACAAATTCAAGATAAAATTCCTCAACCAAACACGGGGTGTATTTTTTTGGGAGTTTGAATTTTTTGTTGGAATTTAAACAGTAAAAAATTTGAATTATAATAATTGATAATGTGATATAAATAGACATAGATGTAATCTTCTAAATGTAAAATTAATATTTAATGTAATATATAAATAAAATAAATAAGTATGTTTTGATAAATAGACATAAGAGTCCTAGTAAAGTAGTAATTGAGTCAATAAAAAAATGATTTAAATGAAACAATTCTAAATTGGGAGTGGACAATATATAGATAGGACGAAGTGAAGTATAACAACATAGAATTACATGAATAAATTTTTATTTATAGAAAATGCTTTTCAACATCAAGAGATACAACTCTTCTGTGACATAAAACAATAAATACAGTGTTAAATTAAATATTTTTTTTTGGTTCGAACTTGATTATGCTATTGATTACCTTTCAAACTTGGTGTGACATAAAAAAAATTAAACACACAACATTTTGATTCGAAGAGTGTTGGATCGACAAATGAGAATAGTAATGTTGATCATTCTATTCAATCGATGCAACAAAAGCTATCAGAGCTCATGAATTTTGTCCGAAAGATGGTTATGAAGAAAATTCAATATGCATCAAGTGCGAGCATGTGATATATTTTCGAATTCAGACTACACAACAAATATGTGTGATACTCGGCTCGCAAGCCATGCGAAGCTGAGCATGTTGGGATTGTAGACTGGCCCTACTGGTCAACACGAGTTCTTTCACCGCACTTATGTCTCACGCAAATTACTTTAGGGTAAACACGCTTAACTCTAGAGTTCTTTCGATAGGGCTTCCGAAAAGAAATGTGCACATTGTTAATATGAGTAGTCTATTCAATCAATTTAACATCTTATTCAATCTCGGAGGTATTTCGTCATCCCCGACTCATATTACTATTCAACTTCGGGGGTATTACCATATGCCCAACACGGTAAGAAAAAGGATCAACTTGGATGGGCATGAGCTCTTTATAGACCATATGATCCATACCCAAACGCATATAATTTAAGATTTCAAGATTATCCTAGAATAAGCTACCATAACTAGCAAGGTTATCAAGCCCCAAAACTACACTTGAATGCATCAACAAGATACAAAAAAAAGTATCGAGGAAATAAGAAATTAAATGAATCAAGTGACATTTGAGATCTGAAATTAATGGAATTGTACAACATCTCATTTTTAAAATAAGTAGAATCAAATATAATCTAAGATTTGACAGTTGCAAGAGTACGGAAAAGGAAAGCGGTTAGCTCAATCCTAGCCAAATCTGAAAAATGTCAGCACTATGACTATTCTTTGTGGCACAATAGTTAATTTCAAAACTTCTTGTGGTACAATAGTTGATTTCAAAACTCCAAAGGGTAAAAGTGAAGAGAAAATTGAAAAGAAGATTGAAAAGATAACTTCAAAACTTCTTTGTTATAATAATTTATGATCGGCCTCCTTTCTTGACAGGCTAAAGATGTTAGAAAATTTATCACAAGCAAAATATGAGATTCAACAGATCCAAAATTACAGATCTAATTACAATGAAATCCGAGTCTCGTATTGCACGCGATCTCCTTGAAGCAAATTCGGTCCGCCATCGATTGCCTTTCAGGATAGAACGAACAATCGAAATAACAGATTTTGCGAACCGAATTGAGAAACCAAAAAAAAAAATTTACATGAACGAAAGAGTTAATTTTTGCAAAGAAAATCAAAGATTTTTTTTGGACGAGGAGAAATTTTGTATGAGTTCAAAAACAAAACTTATTTTTCATGTGGGAGTTTTGTTTTTATATTAATATTTAATACGAAGAGGAATAGAATTTAAAACCTATGAAATATGTTTTTCTTTATTCGATTATTTAAATTTTAATTAGTCAAATAAATAAAATTCAAATAAAAAATATTATATTTAATTGGATTGAGCTCGGCCCAAACCCTATCTTGATATTTTAATATAATTGAGTTAGATCAAGCCTAAGCCACTCTACCCCATTCATGGGTCAAATCCAATATCTCATTGATCCATTTATAAGAAAATTTTCTAAAGAGCCGTGCACCAAAATGAGAAAATTGAAGGGAAATGAGCAAATCATGCATGTGAAAATGTTTAATACTGTGCTAATTTGCTTCCTATTTTGCTTGAGAGACCATTTATATGTATATCTTTAACAAAAATAAATGTGAAATAAAATATATTCATTATGGAATTTGATGATGATTAAATTTATTTATTATATTTGATTACATATTTGTTGATTGTAACGTTGTGTGTGCCATTAATGTTATAAAGCATTCGATGCATACCTTTTTAAGAAAAATTGGACAAAAATTCTTGACATTAGATCAAAGTCATGAAATATGTTGGAACATAACAATTTGTCGATGATAAAAATTGTCAAAAGATACTTTCTATCAGTAATTTTACTTAAAAAATAAAAAATAAAACCAATTAAAAATGAAAAAATAAAAAATAAAAAAACTATTTTATGACAATACCTCCAATAAAATTGTTGATGCAAATTTTTAACAATAAAAAGTAAAATTTGAAAATAGAAATTATTTTCAAATTTGATAAAATAAATGCTTGAGATTAAGAATTTCTAGACACCTTATGATACATAAGTAAACTATGAAAATAAATACTACAGACTGAAAAAGTAAATGGTGATCCCCAAAAGCAATTCACTGAATTTGATGTCGATTGAATATGCTTTTTGCCAGTTGCGAACCCCCTCTTATATGCCTTCTAAGTCAGTTATTAGATCGTGCATTACTAGTTATAACTGACAGAGTGTTTACAACCATCTGAAAAATTATCTTTGGTCGCATTTATATTTAGCAACCGTTTGTTCGACCCAATAACTTTGAAAACAACCTTCGTATTTTCAAACGGATCATAAATCACCACCCGACTGAGAAATCGTCTAGACCATCCACCGACTGACCCTACCGAATAACCCAACGAATGACCAACCGACCAATCCATATAGAAATTGGTCGCTAGACCAAATGACTAATCAGTCGCCCACTCGAGCGACCACCATTCAGTCCCTTCAAACGGCTGAACAACCATTCGTACAGACGATTCATCGATCGCCCAATCAAACGACCACCATCCAGTCCCTTCAATCGGCTGAACAATCATTCGTCCAGACGATTTAATCGATCGCCCAATCAAACGACCAATTGACCCCCCTTTCAAGCGACTGAACTATTGTTTGACCAAATGACCGCTAATCGATCAGACGATTAACATGACGCTTAATTAAGCAATCAATTAATAGACCTTTCCTCTTGTCTGACCTCCATGTCTGTCATCTCATCTTTCTTCGCCCGACCTCCGTATCGGCCGTCTTATTTTTCTTCCCCCGGCTTCCTTTTGTCCGACTTCTGTGTCTGCCATCTCATCTTTCTTTGTCCGACCTCCTTTTGACACCTTCGTATCATCCGTCTCATCTTTTTTCGCCCGACGACTTCCTCTTTTGACCGACCTCTGTATCGGTCATCTCATCTTTCTCCCGAAAAAACTCATTTCTTAATAACACTTGGGCCGTTTGGCTTATATTCAGACCCATTTAGAATCCAACTGTCATTGACAGGCCGTTGAACTATATACCGGTCCACAGCCCTAGGTCCATTCTAAAAAACCTGCACATTAATTTTTTCTTACTCAACAAAAATACTTTTCCAATATAATTTGCATTGTATTAGATTTGACCGATAATTTATCTAAATAACATTTGAAAAAATGCTCAAGTATATCCCAAGTTATAATAATAATAATAATAAAACGACGCTCTAAAATTTTTAGGGGCAACCCAATTACTTGATTTTATTTACTTTATTAATCTCGTATAATTTGTCTCTATTTTTTATTTTTATATGTCCTATGTAATTTATTATATTTATTTTTAAAAATATAATTATACATTTTAATCGTATTTTAAATTTTTTTAATTTTAATTAAATTATTTATTTATTTTATTATTTTTATAGAATAATAATTATTTTTACTAATATAATTATATTTTAATATCTGGACGGAGGGATTTTTTTTGTTTTTATTTTTGAATTTTCTATTTTTTTACCCTAATTTTCACTCATTTCTCCCTTCAACCGCGACCGTCGTTCCCATCCCAGCAGCGATCGACGCCACCAGCCGCCGCTGCCTTGCCGCGTCGACTAACCGCCGGCGAGGCTTACCGTCGCCCTCAGCCGCCGCTCTTCGGAGCCACTTCCTCCGACCGACGCCGCCCTTTCTCACCAGCAGCTCCGCCTCGAACCGTCGAGTTCACCTTCCTCTTCTTCTTGTGAGTATCTTCTATAAACCTTATCTTCTTCAATCGATTGGGAGGAGAAATTTTTCCTAATGAATCTGAGTTGAGATTAGTTTGGATTTTTAGGGTGAAATTTAGTTTGTCTGCTGCTGCTTTGGAAAATCTATTCTATGTTAGATTTAGATTTAGAATTGTTGATACATGCCTTTTGGATTTGCATTGAGAGGTTTCTTATTAATTGAGAGTTGGCATTGATATTTGGAGGAATTCTGCTTGCCTATCTAGAATTGAACTTCTGTATTGCTTGTGGTAACATATATTTGTTGATTTGGTTGATATTTGATAGCGAGGGAGAGGTATTGTTAACTGTGAATTGAATTGAATAATGTCTGTGAGTTGTTTTTCAGTTTTCATGATCGATCGATCATCGAAATTCATCATTAGACTTTCAATTCAAATATGAACTCTCACTTTGAATTGATTTTTGGGAGGTAAATTGTTCTTCATTGGTTAATCATTATTGGGATATCATTTTGATTGGTTTTGTGAAGCTGTTGGATATTATTGATTGTGAATCGAGCTTTTCCTTGGAGTTGGTTGGATGTGTTTGTTTGTTTGGGGGTTTGGATTTTGATTTGAATTTGAATTTGAATAGTAAAAATTTTGAATTGGAATAATGATCGATATGACCGATATAAGTAGGTATTGGTACGATGTTTTGAATGTAAAATTAATTTTTAGTATGATGTAGAAAATAAAAAATGACTATTTGATTTGATGTTTTTTGGGAGAAATTTTTTGGTGAATTGATAAAATTGGGACAAAATCATCCAAAAGAACACACCCGTTGTGTTTGTGGTTGCTGGTTTGTTTTGCAGTCATAGTGATCGAGTATCCATACCAAATCAACTCAAATACTCCCAAAATATAAACAATTAAAGTGCATGACATGCACGAGCTATCACTCCCACGAGCTAGAACACTCACTCTACCAAGTGTTCTGGACTTTTGCGTCTCTGTTTGTGTGTGTTTGTGTTCTCCTTTAGGTAAGAGTTCTTTTTTTTTTTTTTAATTCATAAATGTGTGCATTTGGGTTTCAATTATGTTTTGGATTTTTTGCAAATAATGTTGATGAATGATATAACAAAGAAATGTGTTGAATGTTTATATTAGACAAACAAAAAGTTATTGAATTAGGATTGTTAAGTTTGCATTTATACAATCAATGATCATATTGTAAGGTATTATTTATTACTCCCCCCGTCCGGAATAATTATGCCACAATTTTCTTTTTAGTTGTATGTTAAATTTATGCATAGTTCATTTATAATAAACAACTTTATCTACTCACAATTTCATAATCCTTATTTGAACATATAATTATCAATTTCTTACTATTTTTTCTACTTACCACACTATTTTATTATTAATTCTTTAATAAATTTTATATACTAATAACCCCACTTTCTTTTTTACTTACCACACTTTTACATTAAAATATTACTTCCTCCATCTAACTCCAAATGGGTCCTTTGGAGTTTTGTAGTAGATTAAGAAATAATAGTATATTTTGTTTATGTATAAAATAATTGTATATGTAATGGTATATTTGTAATTTAGGTAAAAGTTAAAAGTTTTACTTTGAGTTGGGAGGGAATATTATTTTTTAATTTATGTGCTCGAGCATTGTGGTATAATTAACCTGAACAGAGGGGATAATGTAGTAATACTGAGAGTTTGTCTTGCTATTTTAGGTATTCGGTTTATTAAATAGGTAAAGATGGGCCGAAAGGCCGGAACCTTGTACATCAATCCAAAGAAATTTGGGAATCTTCAAAAACCTTGTGTAAGAGAGATGGTTTCATTTCTCCAGTGTTTGACACTTAGCCAAAACAGCGACGCAAGATGCAGCCGGCAAAAGTCACTTCTGAGTGCCTGCATGGATGCTCAGGTAAACTCGGAACTCTCTCAAACTATTTTTTTAGTCGATTATAATTTCGCCTTTTTACAATTCTTGCGACCTTCTTACATCACTCCGTCATCTTGCTGCAGACCGGCAACAAACGAAAGCCTTGGGGTAGCATTAATTATCATCTTCAGAGGCTTAATCGCGGAGGCAAGTAAGGCTTTAATCCTTACTTTTATCGCAATTTATTATGCCGTCGATATTACAAACTACATGGCTTCTTCATTAAACACAAACAAGAACTTGTCTGAATTTGAGCTCATGTTTCTTGCAGCTAGAGCTTGTTTTCTCTTTTTTTATTTGTTTTTTTTTTTTTTAAGTTCTTGTTTTGATATAATAATAGTATCATGTAGTGAGTTAAATTCAAAGTTTTGTCTATGGTATTGAATTAGTTTGATCGTTGGATGTTAATTTGAATTTTTGTTTAAATAGCATTTGATTTGATGATTTGTAAGAAAAAATATTATATTTTTATTTCGGTTGGAAATCAAACTAGAACAAACACTATATATATATATATGGTGTCTAAAATTTATTAATGTTTATATATTAATAAATTGTTGAATCATGTTTGTATATATTTGTAAAATTACACTAGAAACATGCTGCTTTAATTATTAAATTTTACTTTAAATAATATTTTAATATGATATTTTGTAAAATAAAATAGTACTTTATATTATTATGGGTGACAAATGCCCTTAATAGTGTGAAAATAAACTTTAAATTGAAACCAAACAACACGCCTCGGTCCCTTCTAATTATCCTATATGTTTTTTTTACTTGTCCGTTAAATTTGTACACAATGTAATTATAATAAATAATTTTATTCACCAATAAATTCAATACTCATATTTTAATAAATAATAATCAATTTTTCACATTTTTTTTCTACTTTTCACATTAAATTTTATTAATTATTTACTTATATATATATATAATAAATTATCTTTATTTTTTAGCTATTTTAATTTTATATTAAAATATCATATATTGAACAGGACATCGTAGGGACCACCATCACCAACACAATGATTTCTGGATCGATAACCAAGTAGGCATTTATAACATTGATGCCCAAATTGTAAAGGCCCAATCTTCTTCTGTCCGAGACAACATGCAAGTATCAATCAAATTCGATCAAAAAAATAATTAGCAACAATTTTGGTTTATTATTTTGTAAGAATATAAATATCATAAGTAAACACGAGTCTCCAATGATTGTATGCCCTGAAATTTTGAGAATAATTCTCCGAAAGGTTCGTCCATTGAGGGTAAGCCACGGCCTAAGACGAGACCCTCAAACAAGAATTAAGAGTAAGATAACTAATTAGTTTAATTAAAATAAAAAAAAAGATTAAAATGGATAATCATTTTCCCAAAAAGAAAAGTGACATGAGATGTGAGACGGAAAAAAACGGCAACATGTACATGGTAAGTGGGACGGATGAAGTATTTTAATACTCGTTTCGTCCCATAAAAAGTATACAAATTTCCATTTTTTTCTGTCCTAAAACAAAGGATATTATTTTCTTATTTAGTAATTGTATTACATATCTAATATAATTAATGCATTTGCAATTCTCAACATATTACACAAATATTATTACTTTTATATCATACAATCTAATGAGGCATTTTTGTCATTTTCACTATAAATTAATAGTATAATATTAATATTAAAAAAATTACGTGCAAAAAATAAACATCATTTTTCTTTTAAATTTAAACTAAAAAATATCAAACCCCGTGAAAAGAAAACACTTGGGTGTGTTTGTTTTGTATTTTGGTTAAAAGATTTATGTGATATATGGAGAATTATGTACATAATATAAAAATAAAAAATAATAATTGTGCGTAATATATTATTTTAAAAAGAATATATTGACAAATTTTTATTATAATCGGATATAACTCAATTCAATAATATATTTTTAATATTTTTTGGTATATACAATTACTCTTTTCATCCATTAAAATTATATTACTTAAGTCTGACAAATATATTAAAAAATTAGAAAAATAAATAGTTAAAAATATTTTTAAAAATTTATTAAGAAATTAAAATAAACAAATACAGAATATAGTTATGATATTTATTTACAATAAATATAGAATAAAAAAAATATTAATTAAATATTAATTTATTAATTTTATAAAAACAGTAATAAAATATTAGGGTGTGTTTGTTTGAAGGATTTTGGTGGATTTCCACTATTCATCCAATTTTTTTCCCCCAAAAACATCAAATTAAACACCTATTTTTTATTTTTTATATTATACTAAAAAATCAATTTTACGTTCAAAACATCACATCAAACCCTATTTATATCACATTATACAACTATTTAAATTCAAAATTTTTACTATTCAAATCCCAACTCAAAATCCAAATGCCGAACAAACACACCCTAAATTTATATAGAACTAAAATAAAAAGGAAATAAATTTGACCTACCAATTTCAATTTTAGTCCCATATTAAAAACCCTATAAAGCCCCTAGGTACAGAGACTAAACCCTTCCCTCTCCCCTCTCCTTTCCTCCTCCCTCTCGCTCTTCGACCCAAACCAGCCACCGCACCTCGCCGTCGCTTGTCCCTCCGTCGACGACAATCGCCACCGCACGCGGCGTCAATCACCGTCGCCGTCGAGCCCCCCTGTCAGCCCGTCTCACCGCCGATTTCAACCGAAGCCACCGCGACCACACCTTCATCGCTCTGGTGTTGGGTAATTCTCTTATCCCTTCCCTCTAATACTTCCAATTTTAGGTATAAATTGTTGCATTCGTGCCATCGATACTGGCATTGCTGTGTTTCGAAGTGTATTTTGTAATTTGAGTGTAATACACATGCAAAAGTTTTAAAAAAAGTATTCTAAGGAAATAGTGTGATTATGGGGTTATTGAGGAAGTAGTTTGTATATTATATTGAATATAATTTGATTATGATCAAGTTGAAAATCGAAGTATATTGTATTATTATATTGATTTAGCAGATATATGGTCGTTTGTTCTGTTCTGTTTTGTTTTTATATATTTTTATCTCCATGGCATTGGAAACAGAACAAAAATGGTAATGCAAGATGAAGAAATCACACGGCTTTACAGAATTCGGAAGACAGTGATGCAGATGCTGAAGGATAGAGACTATATGGTGGGTGACTTTGAGATTGAGATGACAAAGTATCAGCTTGTTCAGAAGTTCGGGGAGAATATGAAAAGAGAAGACCTCATAATTCAAAAAGGCTTGCGCAGTGACCCCAACAATCAGGTTCTTGATCGTTTACATCTTATTAATTCGGCATTATACTCCCATGCTTTGATAATTGTCAGTGCCAGTGGTGGTTTACTGTTTTCGTAATTAGACAGACAAATTACAAGAAATTGTCAAATTTTGTGTGTAAATATATATATGTATGTATAATTTTGTCACTCTAGTTATTCCGAATGTCTTAACATCTCGTAATGATAAGTTATCATGAAGTTAACTTTGGTGGTTTACTATTTTTGTAATTAGACAGACCAATTACAAGAAATTGTCAAATTTTGTGTATATATATGTATGATTTGTCACTCTAGTTATTCCAAATGTGTTCACATCTCGTAATGGTAAGTTATCATGAAGTTAACTTTGGTGGTTTACTATATTTGTAATTAGACAGACAAATTACAAGAAATTGTCGTATTTTGTGTATACATACGTATAATTTTGTCACTCTAGTTACTCCAAATGTCTTAACATTTCATAATGATAAGTTATCATTAAGTTAACTTTGGTGGTTTGTTGTCAGATATATGTGTTCTTTCCCGAGGAACCGAAAGTCGGGGTCAAGACTATGAAGACCTACACGAATCGCATGAAAGAAGAAGGTGTTCATCGGGCAATCTTAGTGGTTCAGCTGAATTTAACTCCATTTGCTCGTTCATGTGTCAATGAAATATCCACTAAATTTCACCTTGAAGTTTTCCAGGTGCTTTAATCATTGTTGCCGTTGTTTTCATACAAAACATTTTGTTGTCTTGTCTGATGCTAAATTTAACTGAACAGGAGGCCGAACTGTTAGTCAATATTAAAAACCATGAACTTGTACCCCAGCACCAGTTACTGACACCCGAAGAAAAGAAGACTTTGCTTGAAAGATACACTGTGAAAGAAACACAGGTTAGTTAATATTATCAGTTATAACAGATCGATTATATGCTTCATATTATATATTCCATACGTAATTGTGGGTGATAGATATTATATATGTTTTTGTGTTTAGTTACAAGGTTTTCTAATTGTGTCATTTTGATTGTATATATATATATATATATATAAATCAAAGTTAAATTCCTTTCTTTCGTTTAACTGGATATGAACATCATAATGTAATTTTAGCTCCTCCGAACCATTCACTATGCTCTGCTGTTAATGCATCGAAATCATTTGTTCAAATAGTGTCTACAACATTCTTGAATGACTCTTTTAAATTTTTTGGATTTACTAATTACCTACCCGTAATTATTATCCTATCTTGTACTATATTATTTGCGTTAAAGAAGGAAATAGGGTTCTAACTTAAAATCAATTGGTATCAAGCAAAGGGCCCAATTCGGGCACTATGAAATTTCTAATGTGGGACAAAAATATTTCACATTCCCCCTTCGAGATGATATCATCTCAAAATCCTAAATTTGATCAATATCTAATACGGGCACAATGATTTTGATACCATTCTAAAAAAGTATTTAGAGTTCCAACTAAAAATCAATTAGTATTAAGTAAAGTGCCATTCATTCTTATATCCTATCACAGTAATATTCAACGCCACCCTTAAGATCGAGATGATATCATCTCAAAATTTTAAATATGATCAATACTCAATACATGCACCCGTGACTTTGATACTGGGGAGGGCAATGGGTACAGGTAGACTTGACCGGGACCCGACCCATTTATTTGGAGTCAAGGTTAAAATTATTCAGGTCGGGTTGTGGGTCCAAAATTGGACTCTACTCAGACCACCCAGACCCGATTAATATATTAATAATATATCAATTATATATATGAACAAAAATAATTTCGAATAATATAAGTTAAATTAAAAATATGTTTTTAGTTTAATTTATTCATTTTTTATTATTTTATTTGATATTTTTGAATAAAAAGTTATATATGTCAGGTTCTGGTCCATTTAAGATAGGTTTTAAGAATTGTAAAAGGGTCTGTAGGGTCCATCAAGCATTGTTTGGGTCGGGTCGGGTCTTGGGTCCGGCTGGACCCGACCCATTGTCATCTCTATCTGACACCATGTTAAGAAGGGATTCGAGATTCCAATTTAAAACTAATTGGTATTAAGTGGAATAGCGAGTTTCCACATATTTGGAACGTAAGGACAACAATATTCAACGATTTGATTGACGGTGTTTGTGTTGTGTTGTTGCAGTTGCCTCGCATCCAGATAACGGATCCTATTGCAAAATATTATGGGCTAAAGCGCGGACAAGTTGTTAAAATCATACGACCAAGTGAGACCGCAGGGCGTTATATCACTTACCGATATGTTGTCTAAACTTCTAAAGCTTCTCTTTTTAGTGGTTTTATTTATTTCTTTTGGATAACGTAGGAGCCTGCAGTCGCTACCCGATTCTTTTTAGTGGTTTTGAGTATGTGACATTATACCTATTTACTTTACTAGTGAAGTGTTTTTATGTAGTTTCTTGGTGTCTATGGGTTCTTGAATTGAAAATTTGATCATGAAGAAACCTCAATCAGAATTGGATGTAAAGGATAAATTTGATCTCGCTTGTGGACGTAGGAGAAATTAGGGGTGGCAAAAAAAAACGGAACCGAATTGTCGAACTGTTGAACCGAACTGAGCCGAATCGAATTTTCGGTTAACTGAGCAAATTCGGTTCGAATACAAATACTGTATAGTTGAAATTTTGGTTTTTGATATATATATATATATTTTTTATTTGGTTCGGTTGAATATATCTATATATATTATTATTATAATTTAAAATTTATATTAATAATTATGTTCGGTTATCGGCTATTTAGAATATTTGTAAATATTTTTATTTAACTGAAATTTTAATTTTTTTATTTAATGTATTTTGTTTTAAATTTTGGTTCAATTTGAATTATTGCAAATATTTTGGATTAATCGAATTTTAAAATGGGGTGGAGATTCAGGGACTGAGAATTGATGAAGATGGCTTTCGATTTCAGACATCACCCGAAACAACAAAAGGAGAAAAATATTTAGGGCGTGTTTTAATTTTAGTTTTGATATTACTATTTCAATTTTCTTTTAATAAAATTATCGATTTAAATATTTATTTTTTATTTATTATATTAAATTAAAATTTTATTTTATTTTTAAAATATTATATTAAGAAATATTTATATCATATAAAATATAACTATTTTAATTCAAAATTTTTGTTATTTAAAATCAAGACATAAACTCAAAATTTTACTGTTAATTTAAAAAAAAATAATTAAAATTTCAGGGAAAAATATAAAATTCAGAAAGTAATTAATTACTGTTAATTTTGAAATATTTTCATGAAAATCTTTTATAAAGCATTTTTTGAGTTATTTTAAAATTATATTTCCTTTTGGCTCCTCAAATTTCGCTCACTTTATATTTTTATATAAATTTTTTTAATTGTAAAAAAAGGGAAAAAAAAAAAGAAAAAAATCAAATTAAAAAGAATACTTATATTACAAAATAAACCTAAATTATTCGTTAAAAAAATCAAATTAAATTGAATAAAACATATAGTATTATATTATTATTAAAATATAGAGTACAAATTATTTTTGTTATTATACAAATATATAAATAAGTAAAAGCAGTGAAATTTTAAATTGTTCCTTCGTAATTAGATATTATTATTTTAAATTGTTACTATGTAATTGAACATCCCAAAATAAAACATGTATACTTTCTAGCTGGATGACAGAGGGAGTATTATTAAAAATATATATCAATATATTATTATTTTTATAAAAAAAGTTGCAATTATATTTTTAAAATATTAAAATATAATTATTTTATATTATGCAATAATTATAAAAAATTTTTTTATTAAATTATAAATATATATCAAATAATTTTAAAAATAAAAATAAAAATAACAATAAATATAATTTACGGTACGACTATATTGAAAAAAATATTATAAACATGGCAAACAACACTGGCTAATTTACAGAAACCCCAAATGCGACTGTAAATGCATTCATTTCAGAATTCAGAGGTAGACGAAGCTCCTTCCAAGGAGTAGTGATGCCGAGAGCCACGCAGATTCTGCGGAGGGCCCATAGAGCCATTGAAGATTTTGATTTGCTCAAAATTTTGGAGTCCGAGCTCAACCATGAACTCTCTACCATGCGGTACCAGGTAGATTTTCTGCCTTCATTTCCCCTTTCTGCGCTCGAACCACAGACACATGTAGTTCAATTTCATAAAATTGATGCCCTAGCTTCGAAAATCGATTTACTTGTTATGAAATTAAGATTGGAATACTTGCTGGAAATTCTGCTTGGTTTGGGATTTTTCTTTCGATTCAGGTTTTTTATGTTAGGTAATACTCAAGCGGATTGATCGTTTGCTATAAGAATTTGGTTTGGGGGAAATGCAAAATCGGATACCTAAATTCAATCGCCACCTCTACGTTTGAGATAATTGTGTTCTTTGTAGAATTTAGGGCACAAAGGATGCTTTGTGAAGTCAATTTTGATGTTTATGTTGATAGACTAAAGTTTGCTGTGTAAATGAACTGAAGTTACTTGTAAAATGATGTCCGGAGCAAAGAAGAGTTAATTTTAATAGTTAATACATACATATGCAAGGTATAATGTTGTGTCCCTTTGCGATTTCCGGGAGCAACGAAATTTGTGTTAGGCATGTGAATGAAATTGTTTTGTTGGAGCAATTTTCTTATGCAGAATCGGATACTCCATGAATACTGGTCAAATTGCTCTGAAGGTTCTTGAAAAGATGTTCAAATAATTTTTAGTCGATAAAATTCAATAAATTTGGTTTGATTACATTTCTTAATAAATAGTACTGGATAAGTGCTCAAACTCGAACTGAATCTTTCTCTAATGAGTCAAGCTTGAGCTCATTTTAAGTATTCAAGCAAGCTTGAGCTCGCCTTAAATGGTTTAGGTTAAGTTGAAAAATAAAAATGCTTTACTTGATTTGAATCACATCTCTAGAAAAGCATAGAGAGGCTTGAGAATCAAGAGCATTGTAGTCACTAGTATCACGTACGCTTTTTTTGTCTTGATTCTCAAATCATCTCTGCTTCTTTCCTGTTTGTAGATGTAGGTTTGATCTACTACAGAGATCTCGCGTCTTTATTTTTTGTTAATGTTTGAACGAATCTTTCAACCCACTGTTTTGAATTTTTTGTTTGATTGTTAACTTTTTTGGCTCCCTTACATGAGTTATATGTGTTACTTTGGTGCCTCAATTGGAAGTCGTGACAATTATCCTCTGGTGGGAAGTATGTTATCTGTTTGGTTTGATTTTAGTTTTGTTTGAATTTAGGCATGACAATTATGGTGTAAAGTATGTTATGTGTTTCGTTTGTTTTTAGTTTTGTATGGATTTTAGAGGTAGAATTAACCAAACATCCGAGTAGACTTTTTGACAAGGGAAAACATGAATTTACTGAAGGCATTTTGAATGTAAACATGATTTGAACATTATTTTAGCGTTAGAAAAGTATAAAAACAAGACCATGGTGTGAAGTATTTTCCACGAGGAGGATAGTATTGCCGCTTTCTTTTAGTTGACGGATCAAAGTGAAATACGTAATCAATATGAGAGATAACTTTTGTGATTAATCCCGTTTTACGTTTTCACGGTGGCATTTTGTATTTGCTATATATCTACGATGTAAGGCACCCGTAGTCCATGTTGTTAGCGTCAGACATAACTTAAACATGCCTTAAATATCTAATGTAGGTTGACAAAACTGGTTCTTTCGGGGATTTTGTGGTCCAATACGATTCTCCTCAGACGCAAGACGTTCTTTTGAGGAAAAAATGTCCGTCTGGAGAAGAAGTAGCGGTCTCAGCTTTGTTAGGTCAGAATACCATCGAAGAAGATAACCACTTGCCTAAGGAAGCTCTGATGAAAGTCTGCATAATGAAACCCGGTTTGAGCTCTGTCTTGCAGTTCGATTGTGTAACAGCTAACAAAGGGGACTGTGAAACTGAGGTCGACATTCAGAGCGCACATTACATTCCATCTCCATCATGCCTCGATTCTTCATCATTTTACAAAGGTCCCGTGTACAGGTATTATCTTTTAGATTTCTGTTCGTATTTTGCGGTTATATAATAAAGCCATGTTCTATGATCGTTAAGGAGTTATAAATTTATTCATTATATGTCTATCTCATGGCTACGTCCACTCTCCCGATCCCACGAAGCTTATGTCTCTAAAATGCGGCGTTCAATCATTTTATTTATCTCTTATAGAGCTGTTGATGAGCCGAGCGAGTTCGAGTATTGGTTGTCTGAGCTCGACTCGAACTTGTTAACAGTATAGGCTCAGGTCGTTAAGAATTCGAACAAAAATAGTGGCTCGAGCTCGGCTTATTAGGCTCAAATTCAAACTCGAGTTTAAGCTCAACTTGAATTTTATGCCTATTCTATATATTTTTGAATATATAAATTAAATATATATTTAATTTTATTCATAATTTTATAATAATAAAATATTCAAATTTTAATAATAAATATAAAATTTGATATTAAGAAAATATATAATATATAAATATATTATCACTACGAACTCAATTGAGCTACTCACGAGCCGCTCAGCTCGCGAGCTACTCGATTGGTTGTGCTCTTCCCTTTAACTTGCTTTAATTAGCATTGTTAATCGATTTGAAGATAATCTCCTGTTAAATGAGCAACTCGATGAAGAGGGTAAATTTGTCATATTTGTGTTATATTTTTCTTATTCTTTAGGAATTTTTTTGTTACATTTTGAGCTTGAGTTTGGTTAGAACATTATATATCAAGTCAAGTTCGATTGTTGTGTTTATTATTATTTTTTATTTTTTTTGGTAAATTACATCGGCATTACTATTTTAACTTAATTGCATAAACTATCATATGTTGATTTTGCGTGATATATAGGAATTTTTGTTATAATTCAAGCTCTAGTTTTGGTTAAAAATTATCTATCAAGGTTGATTGTTATTTTTCGGTAAATTACATATGCATTAGCTATATTTTTATTAAATGCATCAAACTAAAATATGTTGATTTTGCTTTTTCTATAGGAATTTTGGTTATAACTCAAGCTCGACTTTTGGTCAAAATATTATCTATCAAGTCAAGTTAGATTGTTATTTTTGGGTAGATTATATTTGCATCGCCTCTCTTTTAATTTAAATGCATAAACTCTCATATGTTGATTTTATTACATAATCCACCCAATCTTATGGAAAGTTATCCATATAATCCCTAAATTGTGAACAAAAGAATCCCGAAAAAATGGGGATTATGTGCAAAATTTTCACAAACATATGTAAGAATTTCATACAAGTATTTTAAGATTGTGTTATGTATCTAAATGGGCGTTTCGGTTTGTCTCAATTTGCCCATACAAATACTATAAATAGCATATGAAAGTATAACAAACAATACGTTCATGTTGTATAGAGTATTAGTATGTGTAATTAGTTTTATTTTATGTGTGCTGTAAATTAATATCTAATGCATTGTTTGGTATATATTACTGTGTTATCAGCACGGATAATTTGTAAAAGAAAAATAATATTTGTGTTAATTCATCAATTTTTAATTTAACCCTTCAATTGATTAATGAAACTCGAGCTTGGCTTGATTCGACTTTGAAAACTCGAATCTTTACTCGACTAACTACTCTTACTTTGATCCTTTAATCATCGATTCTTTGCAGCGACTTGGATCCGGTGTTGCAACAGGAGTTAAAAAAATATCTAGCGGCCCGAGGAATCGAGGAGAACTTCGCCAGCTCCCTTCTTCTCCATCTGCACAAAAAGGAGCAAAACCAATACATGAATTGGTTGCAAAAGCTTAAGGATATGATGGCTCGACCCACAGGTGATCCCGGCAACCAAACTTAAAAACTTTCTGCTCATTTCTCGGCCAAATCTCACTTGACATCGAAGCTAGGTTTGTCGATTTTTTTGCTGAGTTTTTTATTTGAGCATTGATTCGATTAGACACCGAGGCATAGATCTTCTTCCCTTTGACGACATCTTTACATAAAATTTCCTTAATGAATAGGATTGTCGCCCTCGTCGATATAATGAAAAGGCTAATCTGATAATATCCTCTATCTAAAATTTTGAAATTATACTCCCTTCGTCCACTCTCGATTTTTTTAGTTTGTCTAGGCTCGATGTATCTGTTTCCTTTTTTAGGTAATACTACCTCCGTCCATTTACAAAGTTATATTTGTTTTTTGCGTAACTTTTATATCATAGTACAAATCAAGGAAAAATTATAAAAAATAGTCTGTCTTATAATACAAATATAATGATATTTAGATAAAAATTTATATAAATATAAGGATATTTTTAACGTTAATACAATGACGCACAAGTTAAATATAAACTTAGGTAAATATAAACTTATTAATTGGACGGAAGAAATATAAAAATAATGAGCATGTATAATATATATATATATTTTTCTAAATGTGTTGGTCACAAACAAACCAATTACATGTATTGCCGGTCTATTTTTATGTATTGTCGGTCCCTAGAATTATAAATAGATATTGTATTGGATTATAAAAAATTTATATTTCCTCCGTCCGCTTACAATGTTGACGTATATTTTTGGCGCAGTGTTTAAAAAATAATACTCCCTCCGTCCCATTGAAAGGTTACTATTTTTCATTTTCGTCCGTCCCAAAACAAGGTTACCATTTTCTAATTTAATAATTGTACTACCTACTTCATATAATAAATATATTTTCAACTTACAATGTATTACAGAAATGTCATTACTTTTATATTACACCATACTAATAGGGATATTTTTGTCTTTTTTACTACAATCCAATATAATACCTATATTCAAAAATCTATGTGCAAAAAGCAAAAGTCACCCTTGTTGCGAGACGGAGGGAGTAGTATTTTAATTATAGTGAGTAGTTAAAAGTAGTGTAATGACATTTTTGCCCTTACTTTTTTGTGTAAAAGTAATGATGTTATGTAAAGTAAGGGTATTTGTGGAAAAAAGTAAGGTATTTAATAAAATATTAACTTTGTAATTAGACGTCCCAGAATAGAAATATGTAAACATTGTAAGCGGACGAAGAGAGAGTATTTTTAATTATAAAAATTTATATTTTTAACATCATATTTAGTTCATCAAAACATTGTCTTATGTTTGTGTTTATATAATCTTAAGAAAAGTAGAGAAGTTTCGATGCAAGTTGGGTTACGTGGTTTAATTTTGTATATTTTTTTAATATACTCCCTCCGTCTCGGTACAAGGTTATTATTTATTTTTTGCACGTAGATTTTTTAATATTAGTATTATAATAGATTGCAGTGAAAATGACAAAAATGCCTCTATGAGTATTATGTAATATAAAAAGTAATATTATTTGTGTAATATAGTGTAAGTTATAAGAGTATTTATTATGTCAAGTAAGTAGTACAATTACTAAATTAGAAAATGGTAACCTTGGGACGGACGAAAATGAAAAATGCCAACTTTTCAATGGGACGGAGGGGAGTATATATATTTGTCTCAAAAAGTATTACTACTATTTTTAATTATTTTCAATAGTTCCGCTAAAAAAATATTTATATTCCATAATTATACAATAATATTAAATTAATTTAAATCTTTATATAAATAAAAAATATATTATTTTATATATATAAAGTATAAAATTTCCAACTGAAATTATGGGTTGACATTTTGGCTGCGGGTTTTCATATCATAAAAAGATAAAATATTAGTATTAAAATTATTTTAAATATTTTTATTAATTAATAAAATATTATTATTTTTAAATTGATTATAAAAATTAAATATGCACATATATTTATTCGGCTGAAACGAAAGAGTATATTTATAAAAATATTAAATTAAATAGTATAAATTTAAATCAACAATTTTCAATCCAAACTTAAAAAGCACACCCTTATACTTCATTCTTTCATAGTCTGAATCTGCTAACGGACCTTTCTATTGGGCCTTTTGATGCTTCAATTTCAAAATAGTAAAAAATTATTTTTATTTAAATAAAATTGAAATTTTATTAAATTTTTAGGAATGATAAAAAAAATTTAATTTAATGAAATATTTGATGAGTTAAAAAATTAAAATAGTATTTTTCAAAAAAAATTGAAAACTCAGTGTAAAAAAAAATAAATTAAATATAGATATAAATTATACCTATTAAAATGGATTAGATCGCAATCTACCATAATTTACAAACAAACAAGTTGTTTGCGAGCCAATTTACAGTGAAACGGATTAAGATTTAGACAATCCAAATTAACTTACCGGCGGAAGGGAGCCAAGCGGGTTAACCCAAGGATTTTTTTTTAACAATATTAAAAATATAATTTTTTTATAATTAATATAAAAATAATTATATCTGTAAAGTTCATTTTATGATTCCATATAGTACAATCTCAAAATAAATTTTTAATTTAAAATATTTTTAAAAACTATTATAAAATATAATACACATTATATATTTATATATTTTTTCATATAAAAAATTGAATATTAATATTTTATATGTATATAGTATGAATAGTCAAATTTATCTATTATAAATTAAATTAATTAAACAATGACTATGATGATATTTTTGTAATAGTATGTAAATTGTAAGAATTTTTTTAAGTTATATAGTAAATATAATTACCAAAGGTAAAAAAAAAAAAAAAAAAAAAAAAGAAACCAAATTAATTTGGAAATAAAAAAATAGATATATTTATTTTAGACGAAAAATTATTTAAGATATAATGTAATTATAATATAAATAATAATTATATGTATTTAGCCTCATTTTCAGCCCGCGACCGGCATATCGTTTGGTTCATTTAGTTTCGTATTTTTAACAAATTTAAAAAATTAAATCATAATCCACATTAAAAATAAAATGAGATGGCTAATTTGATTGACTTAATTTATTTTGACGGCTCCAATATAAAAGAAAAAAATTAAATTAAATTAAAATTTATAAAAATAAAAATAAAAATATCTAACATAAATGTGAGGAGTTTCAATGTAGCGTTGACTTTTATTTACTTTAATTTATTTTATTATATGAAATTAATTAGATGGGTCCAATAAAAAGACAAATTATTATTTAGTATTGTCCCCCACATATGGGGTGGCCATGTCTTCTTTTACGTAGTGGCTTTGAATATTTTTAGAATTTTTTTTATAAAAATATTTTTTATTTTTCTAAAATTTTATCCTCGGTCCATTCGCCTATAAGGATTTCATTTACTTTTGCATCATCATTGTACTTAATATTAAAAATATCATCATATTTATATAATTTTTTTTTGTACAAAATTTTTTTTATTAGTATTATAAGACACTAATTGAAGTATTTTGCAATTTTTTCTTAATTTGTACTACGTTTTGATATAATAATTAATATTCAAATATCAACATACAAAAATAAATGAGACCCTCAGAACCGGCGGAGGTAGTACTAAATATTCATTAAACTACTATTTAATATATATAATAATCTCTCTGTCCCATTGAAAGGTTATCGTTTATTTTTTTCACGTAGATTTTTTATTAGTATTATATTGAATCATAGTAAAAAAGACAAAAATACCTTTATTAGTATTGTGTAATATAAAAGTAATGATATTTGTGTAATTGAGTATATTGTAAGTTAGAAGGGTATTTATTATGTTAGGTATATAGTAAAATTACTAAATTAAAAAATAATATCTTTGTTTTTGGACGAACAGAAATAAAAAATGACAATCTTTCAATAGGACGGATGAAGTAAATGATTTAATATTTATTATTATTATATTTTATATTTGTAACAAATTCATATTTTTTTCGTCCTTAATACATATTTATTTTTTTTTATTATAATTAATATTTAATATGTTTCCATATATTTAGATAATTTACATGGTTTAAAACATTAATTTAATAACATGATTTTCTAAATAGGATAGGTATATAAGAATATATATATATAAATATACGCTTTGTACAATAGAATAAAAGTTATCCAAAAGAAATTCTCAAACATATTCCTCAAAACTTTTTATTTTTTTATTAATATACTCCCTCCCTCCCCCATGTAATATGAGTGTATTACTGGAATTTAGGTAAAGTATAATTAGTAAATAATTAAGAAATATATTAGTAAAAATAATTATAGAGTAAGATAAGTAAATAGTTTAGTTAAAATTATGAAAATTATAAAATTTAAAATTTAAAATGCGATTAAAGTACATAATTATATTTCCAAAAATAGAAATGACAAGTTACGTGGGACAGACAAAAATAGAAAATAGGGACAAATTATGTGGAATGGAGGGAGTATAATTTCTTCAATATTTTATTTGATAGTCACATACTCTATCTATGCCAAACGAAAGTATGCATTTAAATTTTTTTAATAAATTAAAAAATAATAATATTTTATTGAACAGTGAAAGTGTATAATTTTGATATTTTTGTATTTTATGTATATATGATATATTTGTAATTTATGTCAAAGTTAAAAATACAAACAAATTTTTAGTTTATTTTATGTGATTTTTTTAAATATTTCTAAATATTTAAATATTTGAACCAATTTTTTAAGTATTTGAATTAAATATATATAATAATATTTTTATTTAATTTATAGGGATAACTAATTATTCAAATTTTAAAAATTGTGTAAATACTATATAATAAAAATACAAAAATTAAATAATTAGGGGACCGAACAATCTTCAGCCCCTATTAGCTCTGCCACTAATAATAATAATAATAATAATAATAATATAATATTTTGTATATTATGTTTTAAAAAATAAAATAATTATTTTACTTGGATTAAATTTTAATTATTTAGGTATTGATGATATTTCAAAATTTAAATAATTCACCTAATTTTTTGGATCACGATGCAATTTAAAATTTTTAGTTGAGGCACTATAATTTTTTAACGGTAGTACATTTAGTAATTATAAAAAAATGATACTCCCTCAGTCCCATAAATATAGTCTTAATTTGGTTGAGTACGAAATTTAAGGAATATTGATATTATATTGGTAGTTGGTAAAAAATATGGATGAAAAACTTTTTTGCCCTTGTGAGTGTATTAGTGTAAAAAATAGTGACAATTGTGTA